GATTGTGCAAGTTCTCCTACTTAGAATAATAAGGTCTGTGATATGTATCATAGGTACAATTCAACTATTAGAGACAAAATGAGAAAAAGAAACCCAGGAAATCACATTTTAGGATTTTTAAAGAATTTATTTGCAAATTATAGTAGAAAATAAGTATTTGGTCAATAACTAAAGTTCAACTCAATACTTTGTAACATAACCTTACATACCTAAATAGATACATTGATCTACTACCATAACACATTTGCCTTTTTTATTTTTATTTTTTTCATTTCTACATTAAAATCTAGTTCCAGTGGTGTGAAATAGGCACTTCCTGTTGCCCTTTGTCATGGTGACTCGTCGAATTGGTGCTCCACTGATGATGGCTGTTCATACTTGTTGCGCACGCGTTTAACTGAGTGGACCTACAGTAGTTAAGATGGATTTAACAAATTGATGGTAGCCATTTTGAAACCGAACACTCAGTTCCCAACTTTAGGCAAGATCAATTTAGAGTTGCTATTTGAATCAGAATTTGTTAAACCAGCTTCATGAAACGGACCCCAGAACCTCTACTAGGCAAGAAGAACACAGAAAAGACAAAAGTGCAACTTTGTTTTGGAAAGTGTCTCCAGTGACATCTGAAGGAATCTAACAACAGAAGAAGAATTAAATTATACTGGGACTTACACACAGAAGTGGCAGTGTGATGGTCTGGGGCAACTTTGTTGCGTCAGATCCTGTGATGACATCCCATAATGGATGGAAACATCATCTTTATCTGAATGTATTTGAACTGAACCATGATGGTGTAAAAAAAACAAAAAAAAAACAGGGAAAAATGTTTTTCAAAGACCTAAATATAAATCCTCCTGTGTGAATACTTCTGAACTAACATCAAGATGCTTTTTGTTCCATGTTAGACAGGAGGGATGAAGCCTTTTAAACCAGCACATTACAGTATGTCATTAAACTCCGAACCTAGAGCAATCTCCCCTCAGCAGGCACAACAGTGAATGGTTATAAAATGTGGCTAATGGTTAGCAGGTAGGCTTGCAGTTACACCATTAGTAGGAGAAATGTGGGCATATATAAACAGTTTAGTCCAATAATAAGCAGTTGTTTTAGAAAGCAAGTAAAAAAACAACAACAGTAATTTAAACAGATAGCCCTCTGTTCACCAAACTGACCCTGAAAAAATTAAAGCTGTAACATAACAAAAAAAAAAATCTCAGTTCTTTTGAGAAATGTGCAGATGACAGTTTTGGGGCGATTATAGCATTGTCTCCTTTTTTTCTTCCTTCTCACACTATTTATGCACATGGTGTTTGAGGGGTGACACTAGAAGCTGACTGTTTAAAATACACACGTCACAAATGTCGATTCTCTTTGAGCCTTTTTTATTTTTTTTGCTGCTGACGTGAAGCAAGAAAACAACACATCACAGTCCTATTTTTCAATAGCTGAAGTACAAAAAGCAGATGTCAGGACACAGATGATGCAGCCAACATGTTTAAGGCAGATCAGCTGCAAGTAAACTAGAATAGCTAGAAAACGTGAGTTCACAGCAAACTGACTATTTTTTTTAGAGACTACGCTATGGATGCTGGATTTTCACCTTTAAGATACGGCGAGGTGAGAAGGTATTAACACCCTTTGAATCTCTTTTCAGAACCTTATTTTCATGTTCTATACCAGAGCTACAGTATGAAAGGAGAGAAATATCAACCTAACTTCCCTTCCTTATAGTAAAACACAACATCCAACGGGACGAATAATCAACAAGGAACAAAATTGGGTTAAAGACAGTGATAGAAATTCACCTTCTACTGTAACCAATGATGCAAATTTTATCTGTATTGGTTATTATTAGCTTTAAAACTAAATGTCAAACGTCACCATAACACCAGTGTCACTCGCCAATGTTAAAGGCACTGTTTTTGTGACAAGTGTGAATCATGCCTGTAGCACCAGCAGGTCATGTTGACCCAACTGATGCCTGGGTCTGCAAGGGAGAGCTGTTGAAGTCAAAATACTGATAGTGTGGGTTTATTTTTTATTTTTCAACTGCAGACACAGATAGCCAAAATGCTATTTGCAATGACTTTACAGGATAGGAGGGAGAAAACTATATAGGGTTTTTAGGAAGGTCTAAAGCAAAAAATATCTATGTTAGTTTCCAGTCACTTCACTGCAAAACATGTAAATCTAAGTAAGTCAGACACTTTGCTAATGGAATAAGACATTTTACTTCTGAAATAAGAAAAAAAACAACAACAGCTGTCTCATTTAAAGAGTATGATATATAATTATCTAATTTTAAGGGTAAAAATACTCATTTCATTGGCAGACCATCTTATTTACCTACTCAAATTAAGGATTAATACAATTATTTTAAGACATTTTTACAAATTTTTAGATTGTTTTTGAAGTATAAAGTTTTAAAATATCAGCATAATTGAAATCTGTCAACATTTCAATATCATGCATCCCTAAACATAACTGCAACCCTAAGAAAAACATAGGGATTCAGATCTTAATGTTTCTGTGTTGGAAGGGCCCAATCTAAGTGATAACTGATCTGAAATCAATTAAGAATTAATGGCAAGACTTGCAAATCTGTGACCGAATATTCAAATCATGCCATATAAAGTACAGACTTGGGGAGGGCTTAATTCTGACTGAAAAAAAATAGAAGTTCTACTAAACATGTCTCAGATGCTATCCTGCTGATTGAATGAAACAGATTTGGTTTATTTTTTTAATTGGAAGAACAATAAAAAGTTACCTCGGTAGAAAGCGCATCATGATGTCTCCGTCTCCAGTTGCGGCGGCGGCACCGGCTGAACTGTCTGCGTAGGCTCCTGCTCCGATGATGGGGGAGTCCCCCACGCGGCTGAAGGATGCCACAAAGGAACCAGATATGAAAATCCAAGTATTACAGAAATACAAACACCACATTTTACATTTTATTGTTCTTATTTGTAAAAAATCTCAAAGTTTGATGTCACTATAACTTCAACCTTTCTTAGTATCGTGAGCAAATATAAAATGATGGGAGCAGTTTTCAAATCATCAGTCTCCTGTGGGAGAGTGGAGCAAATGTTAAAGCCAAAATAAATGTGCTATCACACTCAAACATCAACCCTAAGTTTGAACTGAGTCTGCTGGGTTTTAAAAGACGGATCTACATGCAGCCTCAGGTTCTAATGCTTCTCAACAAAAAATATTTATGTAAGATATAGAGAGACCAGCTGTCAGGATAAAATGTGACGTACATTTTTATTAGTGTGAAGATGCAGGAAAACTGCCTTTGAAGGAGAATGTTCTGCTAAAAAGCATCACTTGTTACCATAATTTCTCCAAAGCGGTGTTCCTACATACATTTATAGAAGACACATGCTTTAAAACGATGCCTTCGCTCATTTCCTGACAGACTTAAAAGGCCGTTGATGCAGCTTACACAGAATCCTAACTGAATTTTTTACTGCTTTGCACGTTAAAGGGAAGAAAATCCACATCAGCTGCATGTATAGTTAATGCACACAAGGGCATTGAAGTGTTCAAGAAACATTCAAAGTCATGCAAATATGAAGTGTTTACATCTGAGGCTCACATAAACAGATGAGTTTATCTCACCATTCAGTTCGTATAAATTATCCAGTGTAAAATTAGTATGAGTTAAAAACTAACCAGCTGGACCACTGTTAGGCCCTGAATCTTGAGTTAGTCTGTAGTCTTGTTCAAATAATGCAGAGTTTTTGTAAGTTTAAGACATGATTACCAAAGGAAATGAAACACTATTCTCCAACAGTATTTTTTTTCTAAAACGTTACCTTTGATCAAACTCTACTAACATCTTTTTTTGGTCAATCCATGTTTAGCACTGAATGATGCTTTGTTTTCAGATTTTAAAATCTTCCCAATAAGATAAAATAAAATACAAACTCTGCTCATTTCTCTTGTTCAACAGTTATAAATATTATTCAGAGAGTCAAAGTCTAAAGGCGTGAGAAAATGTGATTGAAAAAATTCTCACAGAGGCTCTCTGAAAACAAATATGGTGCAGGGCAAACACACATTTCTCAGTGTTTACAATTAGAGGAGCCATACTCTAATTCTTTTTTTTTTTTTTTTTTCCTACAGCTCGGTCAAAAACTTCTGATCTAATTCATACTGCATTTCTGAGTCAGTATGAATTCCTTAAAAAATAAATAAATACCCACTCTGAGAGAGAAGCATTTTTCATTTCAGATCAATGTTGTTAGAAAGTTTAGAATCATTCTAGAGGAAGGCCAAGAGAGAGGTTTAAAAAGAATTTTTCAATTTTGTGGTGGCCAGAAGCAATGTGTGAGTCTTTGTCTGTTTTAGAGATAAAGAAGGAAGAAAATATGCTGAGAAATTGACTTTATAGAATTTACGCACCCTGGAACTTTGTGAGTCAGTCCGTTGGTCGACGTTCCAGCTGCCATGTGACCATCTTTATCAATGGCAATCAACCCTGGTGCAAAAACAAGCATTATAAGTAAACAGATGCTTTCTGGTATTAGCTTAAATATTAGTATTTAAATGATCATAAAGCTCTTTTATGAAGTGTTGCAGAAACAGATGCTGTCTGGAGGCTAATACTGTAATATTTTACACAGACAGCTTCCAAGAGAGGAACAAGGGAAATTAGCGCACCTTGACATCTGAAGCAATACAGAACACAATTATTTAACCATGTAAGGTAGAACGCTGTCTCTGTTCCCTCCTACCTATGGTATCATGGGAGTGTATGTTAACATGCCGGACTCCATTACACTGTGTTTGCATTGCCACTGGCCCGTAGGGTCCACACGACTTCAGAGGATCTGGATTGACGTTCTGTTGAAAGATGATGGCAGGGATCATTTCTTACATCATGCTTTCATTCTGGGACTCAAACTGAGAGTTTCAACCATTGACACTAAAAACCAATGAGCAGGTTTTTTTTGTTTTTTTCTCGAAGACGGTTTTTGAACTGAAGCATAATTAAATATGTCTTTTTTTAGCAGTCAGGTCTCATTTACTGCAACCCAGAGCACCTCCAGATTTGCTCAAAGGGATGTTAGGAATTGTCTCAGACAGTACTGAGAGCAGAGAGAAGGTGGAGCATTTCAGTTTGATCTGCAGAGAAGTGTGATCAGTTTATTTTTGTTTAATTAATACAGAAGTTATGTTCAATCCTGATAAAAACAAGAGTCCAATTTAAGTATTAATGGAAAACATGTCTTGTTAGACTGCAGCCTTACTACACAGAATAATTTTTTCTTGAGGTTTTCTGTTTGAAGGAAAATTTAAAAATCTGTTTTTGTATTTAGCCACCCTGAGTTGATACTTTGCATAGCCACATATGGCAGCAGGTCTTTCAGGGTATGCCTCTGCAGGTTTGCACCTTCTTTTTTTTAAACAACTCTAGTCTTGTAGAAGTGGACTTTGGAGAAATGTAAGGATTAATGAATGAATTAGTCCTTATTTTAGACTATAATCTTGAACAGAAAAAAAAGAAAAATACAAAAGAAAAGCATGTACTTTGACTGAGCCATTAGAAACAGGAACATTGGCTGTGCAGAGAGCATTCACATTATCAGCTTATATGAAGCTACGTTTATTGTTGCTCTAGGTGAGCATTAAGTGAGGTTCTCACCTGAAAAATTAAACAGATAAAGCAAGGTTGGACTGCACACAGTCTGTCACTGGCTTCAATTCAGAAAGTTCCCATCTTGTCTGATTTACAAAACAAGCCAAGAAAACAGCACTCCATCATCAGCCAAGGTTTTTAGAAAGGCTACAAACTGGAAAAGTTAGAACAGTCTGAAAGGTTCAGTTGAATCCATTTCTTCTGTATGTTCAGTTAGTGAAGTTGTATTTTATCATTTGGAGGCATTGAACTGTCACAGGTGTTTGCGGGTATTCATGACAACAGCATGTCTTAATTTGCAAACTTAGGACGTTCTCCTTTGTTAGGATGAATTCCATGTTTGGATTTTCTCAGGGAGATGTGAAGATGTATAAAATGCTTCTTTAACTGTTATTTTGGGCCAACTTCCTGAAGAGGCAAGTCTGATATCAGTGCTTCCATTGTACCCGTGCAACCTATCTGGTCTGAGATAGATTAAATTCTGTTAAACCTGCCATAATGTTTTATAGTCATTCAATTAATATAGTGGCCTTGCAGCTGATGTCACAGACTTATTAAACATTTTAATCTAGCCACTGCCATATTGAGTACCTGCTCTGGTCCCCTGCACGTCAAAGATATTGTCACAACATCTGCATGTTGTGACAATAAAAGAGATGACCCACATATTTCTTTTTACCGTACCTCTTACCAAAAGAAAAATGATCAGAGATGGCTGTCAGCGATCAGAAGGGCTGACTGGACGCTGACTGCAAGTGGCTGTCTGTGCAGTATACATTGCATAACAGGGAAGTTTCAATACTTGTAAGGAGAGCCAGCTTAGGCTTTTACCAACTGGATTTAATGTTTTGTACAGTTTTTTCTAGTGTTGCGTCAATGCAATTTTTTTGGCCCCCATACCTGACTGTGCAGTATCGGCTAATACCATACCAGTACCATCTGTTTGAAATTGATGTGTGTGTATATATTAAGAACTGCAAACTACTTGGATGTATAATAATTGCTATCATGGCTTTGTCAAGCTGCTGCCTACCTTTGTGAAGCAGGAAAAAGACTAATACAAAGTGAATCCAGTAGAACTTTTTATTGCCTACCTGGAATGGGTGACAATAGTTTAATAAACTTTTGGCCCTCAAAAGGGTATCGGTGCCCTATTTGTTGGTACTCGCTGATACCGATACCACCACTTTAGTGCTGGATCGGGGCTACAGAAATTATACTTGTGTTTAGCTGTTTACATAAAGTAAGCATAAAGATGATCAGAACACGGCATCCCTGTGCTTTTTACATACAAATATCTTCTTGTTTTACAGATACCCTATTTCTGGGTTAATAACCCAGCCAGCTGTGAAATACTGATAGGAATCTGTGCTTTCAAAAGCTTTCAGACTTTCTCTGGTGTATGAGGAAGGGTTGTGTATATGATATATATCAGTTGTGAAAAGAAAAATCCAGAACCCTGTCAGTTAAAGAAAGGTGTTGAAAAAAGTCATTAGGGACTTTGTATGGATCGCATCCAATCACACGGATTTTCTCTGTGTTTCGTTTAAGCTAATATGGATTTAAATTAGATTGATCGACTGTGGTCAGAGGGGAAGCACCACAGAGCTAGGCTAAGTGTTCGGTACTCAATATGGCTGTGGTACGGTAGAAAGCTTCATGACGTAACCCTTCAGGACGCATCTATTAGACAGTGATATTTAAAGTGTTCCCAATGATGTTTTCTCAGGAAAAAATTGGGGAGTGAAAGCTTCAAGGTGTAAATACAATAATCTTTCTTTTTACAATTTTATTGCTCCTCGTTCTTCTAAAAGGGGAAATTTTGTCCCAGTCTTCAGTTTTCGACAGCTTCTGTTTTCTTTTTTTTCTTTTTCCCCTGGACTGTGCTGTATTAAGCTAGCCTGGCTAGCCAAACTGACTTAAAACTGGGCATGAGTCAGTCTCGTACGGCTCACATGGTCTAAAGAAGACTGGACCAATCACATTGTAGGAGGAAGGAGTTTAGGTTTGCACCAGAATTACCCATAATGCAACAGTGCTTTTCTGTAACCATAACAATGAACACTGCAGCCGCAACCTTGCAATGCTTTTTATTAAGTTCTGAATGAGCCAGATATATATTTAAAAGTTCAAAAACTTACTGTTGTAAGAGGTTTCCTTAAAAAAAAAAACAACAAAAAAATGTTGCGTCATATCTGAAGTTATATGGTTACTGGTTCTAACCCGTTTCCTCTGACTCCCTTAGTTCTCCCTTTGAAATCTGGAACTACAAGCTCTTTTACAGAATGATAGATCATGTATTTGACATAAGTCTTCATCTATCTTTATCATCATACATCAACTTTGATAGCCTTGCCTGGTCATGCTGAGAAAATGCATCCCTATACCATGAAGCTGTCACCACCATGTTTCATGATGGTTTACAATGAGTTATGTAATCCTCCACATTTTTGCATTTAGGCCAGAAGGTTAGATTTCTGTCTTATTTGACTTTCAGATACAACTTACATTTATACTACTTACTGTGCCATTTTGTACTGCTCTATCATAAAAAATCCCAATAGTATGCTTTATGAGAAGCTTAACACTGTGCTCTTATTTTATGATTGATATATAAATGCATCGTTCTATATTAATTAAAAAGAAATCAAGCTTTCACATTCAAGAGTTTAATGGTTCCATTTATTTTCCTTTCTATACTTTCGACATTTCCATCCATTCAGCCTCTGACTAGAGGTTTTCTGCACTGCAATTTTTTTTTTTTTCCAATAATAGCTCTACAAACTTTATAGCCACAAGTTCTCTCTCCTAAAAGTATGACTGGAGTGAATTTGATCAATGAACACTGGATGATATCTGGATATGTAACGCCTCCCTGATTCTATAGATGTTGTGACATTGTTGTGGAAATGAAGAGGATTCTTTTGAAGAAAAGCAAAAGCTTGGTGCTTTAGGGCATCACCTTTACCACAAAAACTGACTCTTTTTTTTCGGAGGTACTTTAGTATGCCTGTCAATTTTCCCTTTTGAAATCAATCTTTTAGAAGCAATATGCCTGTGGCAGACACAAGCCAGGGAAAACAGACTCGCACACATGCACTTACCTTTCGATAATTAGGTTGGCAGTTGCCCTTGAGCCACTGAGTGAAAACATTCAAAGATTTGTTGGTAGTAAGGTCTTCTGCAACAAAGCCCATGTTCTCAGCGAACACAGAGGCTACAAAGAGAGAGGAAACGCACAGGTCAAGTTGCACATATGAGACCACTCTGACCTTAGGACAGGACTTGAAAAGCGTCACAGACAAAAAAGGGACTGCAAGCAATTTTAGCTCATTTCAGTCTCAGTTCATCTGATTTTCAGAGAGCCTCTGCTTTGAAAGGTTGTCATCATACAACTTCCTGAGAATAGCATAGCTGTTCTGATGAATTATTCATCTCATGGATTTCATGACATACAAACCAAATCATTAAATATCCAAGATGTACAGTGGTGTTCAAAATAATACAAGTGTTTTTTTTTTTTTTTGGCTTTGATATGCTCAATTTAACTGCTTTAAAGGCATTTTTTTTTTTTTTTTTTTTGCTTTGATATGCTCAATTTAACTGCTTTAAAGGCATTAAGAACACTGCTCTAAACCATGCATTTTTTTCTTATTGTTCTAAAGAAGGTTAGGGGAATTTAAGTTTAGGACTGATTTATCATTTAAATCCCTAAACTTACACTCGGTCGACTCCAACAAACCCTCATAACAACCAGTTGTTATGCAACTAAGTGCACTGTTATGGGTGATGGGACTAGCTTACATGGTTCCTCAGCATTTCTTGGTTTTGCCTCAGAAATAGCATCCTTGATGTCATGTAACAAATGTTCACATGGATCAATGTCAAGTTCTATAAAGTTAATCTTATTGGCCCAGCACCAAGGTGGTGTTCCCTTTCTTGTGTCTTTGGGGTTGTCATGTTGAAATAGGGCTGTGGAATATGGTTGAAAAATATTTTGTGATATCAGCCTTTCATTTCAGTCCATATCAATAATTATTGATTTGTTTTTGTTTTTTTGATTAACCTGTTTGAAAGACATACCGAAGGAAAAAAGCTGAATTTAGACTGCAGCCCTAACCATTTTTAAATGTAAGCTTTCACCCTTAAAAAGAGGTCGGCTCTACCACCTACCTTGCTTATTTGTAAAAAAAAAAAATAGTATATCTGTAAAACACTGTTGCTTAGATTTAATACTCTGGAACATCTCTGTTTTTCTTCTGTGTCTTTGTGAGTTTGGTTTCCAGTTTAAAATGTGTGATTACTTTACTAGAGCAGTCCATCATTTTCCGCCCGTCTTTATATGTTTTCTCCTCTCCAGTCAAAACTGTTTTCTAAACGATGCCTGAAGAAATAATTTTAAAATACTGAAGATAATTTGTCAAAAAATAAAGTATGGGACATATGGTACTAAACATAAAATGTAATAATTTCAATCTATCTACGTAGAACATCTAGTCACAGTTTCCTTGGTATTTGGGACTTTTCATTTGCTTAGAAGCAGAGACATGAGACATCTTCAGTTTCTCATCAAGAATCTCCCAGAACATTTTCCACTCATCCTTCCTTCAGTTACCGTATTTTACGGACTATAGAGCGCACCTCACTATAAGCCGTACCCAGATTAGGGACGAAGATGAATGCTAGCTCCCATGAGCTTTTTGGCTTGTGGCGGTAAAAGCTTCTAATTAAAGTCAGAGCTTACCCATCAAAGTTAGGGGGCGGGGTTAACGCAAATCGAGTCGCCACCTACTGTATCAGAGTATGTTCACAACCTGTGGATCACAGTCTCTGTAATCGATTTGCTTCGCCTTGATGTGCAGGGTGACCAATCAGGTGTTAGATAACCGCCCCCTAACTTTGATGGGTGAGTTTGACAGATTCTTTTAATGGTTTCGATGCACTGCAGCACAGGAGCATGAAATAATTAAATGCACACTGAAATAATTATATATATTTTTTTAATAAAATGAAGACGCATTTTATTAAATTAATGACACATTTATATATTTAATTCCTTATTTATTTAATGAATTACACATTTAATTAATTGTTTATCGCTGTATTTATTTATTTAATTGTGGCACTTTATATTAGTGACGTGGTTTTAATTAATGAATGACACATTTATTTATTTAATTCCACATTTAATTAATTATTGACACATTTAATTATTTATTTAATGCTGTATTTATTTATTTAATTTTGGCACTTTTTATCCTCAATAGCTGCTAGCATGTTGTCCGAAATTAAAATGAGCCACTTATTCTTTTATTTCCAACTTTAACTTCCGCCCCAGGCGGTTAGGAAACATACACAGAAAGGCTGCACCTTTGTATAAGCTGCATGGTTTAAAGCGTGAGAAAAAAGTAGCAGCTTATAGTCAATCACATATGGCATATCAATTATGCCTATGCTATAAGCTGTAATACTTCTAAGAAGGGGTGAAAAATGTCAGTAACGCTACTAGTAAGCGTTTGAAAATGGGGTCGAGTACAGCCAAGCCCCATGGAGCTGGTGAGTTGGAGCAAAGGTGTGTTGTCTGTGTAACTCTTCAGGAATGAGAAGCCACCAGTTAAAGTGTAAACGGTGAATATTAATTTGCACATACTAAAAGGGAAGCCATCAAAATATGTGACAGATCAAATGGTTTCTTGGCTTTCTATACCTTTTTACACATTTGTTTTTCCTTACATGTTCAACATTTATTCCTCGTTTCTTTCCTAATTAATCCATATGGGAATAGATTTGTTTTCATTTTTTTTTTGCAAGTTAGATAACTTGCATTTTTTGAGACATCTGGTTTGAGTTCCATCTCATTTTAAATTTCAAAATATTTTCTTTTGAAAACATTGACAAAGGTTTCACACTAATTTTACCAGCTGAATGTAATCTGGTTTGTTATATTTAACTGCTGATATTTTCAACCAAACTGTACATCATGCTGGAACAAAAAGGTTTTAGTGATAATGTCTTCAGTTTCCGTTCATTGCCCTCTTCTCATCCACTACATAAATGCAGCTCTTGAACATTTTTTTGCACAACCGGTGCACAATTATGCTTCTCAAGCCCAGGAGACTATATAACCCATGTGTTTTTCACTTACTGCTAATGATTGTCATTTCATTTAAAAGCCTATGCAGTGTCTAAAAAGGTTTGGGTCCTAATGTAATAAGTGCCTAATTGAGATCATTAATGCAGATTCAAGTGTCCCCTGATAGTGAAAGCGTTTTCTTTTAGACTTTAAAGAAATATACTGAAGCAAGCCGTTATGTTGAAAATTAGCATTTTACAAACTGTGTGTTGTTCAAATAAATGAGTCCATTATAGCTGGCTATATCACCCAGGGTGTATGAACAGCAATACTCACATACCTGACTCTCCCACTAGCATTGTATGTTCAGTGCGCTCCATCACAGCTCTGGCAACTCCAATAGCATTTTTGATTCTTCTCAGGTCTGCCACTGCACCCACCTCCATCGTATTACTACTCGGAGAGCGCACACAGATAAGAAACACTCCTCTTGGTTTACTGCAGCCAAATATCATCTGTGAGTAACATATCTCCGTTATTAATCATCGTTGGGGAGGATTACAAAGATCATGTTTCATGTTTACCAAAAAGAAAAAAACGGCTTGTATCTGAAGAGGTTACATAGATTTTTTTTTCTTCTTACAGATCTTGTACTTATCATTTGACTGCTACTGGATGGTCATGGAGGCGTTTGTTTAGAGCTGTGCTCTTATGAATGTAGAATGTGTTTGCTGGTGGTTATTGGATTTCTTCTGCTTGTGTATTGAATTTGGTAAAAAGGATATTCTCTATCCGCAACACCGTATAACAATCTGAATGTACTTCATACATATACATGGAAAAACAGCAATCATCTTAACATTTTACAGTACTAAAAACAAGATGTTTTTTTGTGGGAGGTATCTGCTGTTGGGATGGCCTAGGTGTCTCTGCATTATGGGAATGGGACAGTGTTGTCTTGGCTCTACCTTTCCCATAAGTCACCCAAAATAGTTAGACAATCCTGAGCTATTTTCTATATTAATGCTGCTATAGGTTTCAGCTACTGGAGCGCGTAGGGTCCACTTTTCATTATTCAGCTTCATTCTATCTCTATTCTCCCTTATTGGTTAGGTCCTTTTATAACTCTACTGTATGTTGTCTTTGCCTTTTGTTGTCATAGTAGCTAAATGTGTTCAGTTCCTGTTAAACTGTGACTCCATCCTGGATTGAAATATCAGCTGGACTGCTGCCATCATCACCTTTGTTTATAGATGTTGAAGTTGGGCCTATTTTATCAGTGTAGTCCTGTTTCTTGTACTGTGAACAAACTGTATGTGCCCTGTTAATTCTCTGACAAAAGAATTGGCTCAGAGCTGTGAAGCTGGTTGACAGTGGCCTTTTGTATCTCTCCTTCTTTCTGTGTGTCTGCTTCTGTCTCCTTGAACCACAGTTGGCCTCAACAAAAGGCCGCTCACACTGAGCCTGGTTCTGCTGGAGTTTCTTCCCGTTTAAAGACAGTTTTTCCTCTCCACTGTCAAAGATATCCTGAATGTTATTCAGGACGGACAATAATTTCTTTACAGTTTTTCATAATCTGTTGATCATGGCGATATATATGGGGCAAATAATAAGATGCCTAGAGATGATTATATTTCAACACCCTGGAAAGAAGGACCTTATAGGCGTCCACTGTGTAGTAAAATTTTTCTAGATGCACGATGCGGAAAAATCAGGCCACACAGACAGTGTTTAAAGGGGTGTGGGTGCTAAAGGAATGTAATTTGGCCATACGTACCTTGTGTACACTCCATGTATAAACCAGGCTTTAACCTCTCAAATGTTAGCTCACTGGGTGGGTGCTAACATTCCTCCCCACCTTCATTTCTTTCGGTGTGAGTAATAAGAGGGACTGGGTCTCAGGCTTGCCCTGTGTGGTTACAGATGGCAGTATGGCTGGTTGGTTGGCCTGGGGCCGTGCCCCCTGTGCCTCGCTAACCACTAACCTCTTTGCAGTGCATATGGCCTCAGCCTTGGTTGATATCTAGTCTGTCTGCCTCGGGTTGCAGCAGTCTTCAAGAGTCAAGTCTGCCTATTTTTTTGCTCTTCTTGGGTTCTCTGTGTTGCATACCTTCTACTGTTCTTACCACTCTCAGCACTGTGCAGTTGACAAACTAACTCACATAACACACAGGACACAAACACATTTATTTCTACAAGAACACACAAGTAAACTAGATTGCTGAAGGTCACAAATACCCAGGCAACAATTACATCAATTCTACTTTGATATTGTATCCAGGCTTGATTTAATTAAGTCGATCACAATATTAGGATTTGGTCTTAAGATGTGCTTTTTGTAGAATAAATGTTATGTCACATGTAGGCAACCAGCTTCTCTATATGGTATGCCTGAAATGCCTCAATGGGACATGTGAAGAAATATATAACTGTAACAAAAAAGGGTAAAATTTCAGGGAAAATTAAAGTGTGAATATTCACTAAAGAAAGAGTAAACAGCTTGCTACTTATCTTTTGTTGTAAGCTGACATTTACTTCTCATTATAACTTCTGAGCCTCTAAATGTTAGTATTTAAGGAACTCATAATTGGAACGCTTTCAGATCATAATGAGACTCTTAATTAGGACTTCCCTGCAGAAGGCTTGAAGGAAAGGTCAGCTAGTTAAGTGTGTAAATGTTAAAGATACATGGAAAGAAGCAGCGCAATTTGCAGAAAACTAAATAAATAAAAGAATAAGAAAAGTTAGATGTTGATGGTTGCATGTAGCCCATTAGCATTTAAAGGTTTGAGTCATATAAACACAAGTTCTGATTTTCAGCAGCTTTACAAAATGCTCTCTGTTGATTTATATGGATTAAACCTATTTAAGTAAGTAGTAAGTTAGTAAGGATAATTTATTTAACCCCTTACTCTGGCAAGCATCACAAAGTGCTGTATAATATGAGGCATAGAATACCAACAGCACCGTATACAATACATGTAGACAAAATAAATACTATCATAGCAGCTCTTGATAACATTTGTCTAAAATGCTTTGTTAAAAAAAAATGTTTTTAGTTGTTTTTTAACATCTACGCAGTTCACCAAGTGGAGGTAAAGTGTTAGAGCATTCCACAGTCTGAGTGCGACATCTTGAAAGGACCTATCACCTGTCGTCCTAAAATGGGTTCGAGGGACCATTAACAAGTTCTGTTCAGCAGAACTCAGGCTGCCTGGAAAAGTAAGGCTGAATCAAGTTGCAAATGTAAGAGGGAGCCTGTCTATTCAGGGCTCTAATGGTCAGGACCAAAATTTTAAAGTTATTGCGTTATTCAATGGGAAGCCAGTGTAGGGCTTTGAGTCAAGAGTTATGTGAGCTCTTCTGGTTCTACGTGTCAAGATCTTTGCTGCAGAATTTTGCACTGCAATCAACCTAGGCCTTTTTTGTTCAGAGAATTAAACAGGCTATTGCAGTAGTAAACATGATGACACAAATGCATGAATGAGGACAGCATCTTTAGAAAATGCTTTCTGTTGATTTAAATAGATTTCCCCCTCAGATCATAGAGTATTGAAGCATAATGTTTGAAAACAAAGCTGCATTGAACTAGTTATGTTTTAGCAGCTTGTCATGTTGTGCAAATGGCAGCTAAATAATAAACCAGTTACATTCTGCTGACAGATACTGCCTATCATGCCAAACTTCACTTGTAAATCTGTCGGCTTTCCAAATGATTTTACCAGCACAGTGTCTGTTCATTACCCGTTCATGATCAAGGCGTCCAGCGTGGTTTCTCCAGTCTCATCCGGGCTGCCGCCAAAGCCGACAGTGCCATCGCACTGTTCTATTTCACAGCGGGCACAGCCTTTCTCCACTGCGTCCAACACTAAGCCGCTGGACTGCAGGGCATCCCATGCTGCACATAAAAACAACCAATCAGCATGTAGGGTCACAAATCTGTTCAAGGGTGAGCTGTCAGAGACTGTTTAAGATGCCATAAACAACAAGCTGCAGTTTAGATACCCTGTGAGACAAAGGTTTACACATCAGTGTTAAAATAAAAGATTAGAAACTATTTTATAAGTTGGCTTTCAAACAGTGACTGATTTTTAGATCAAAAACAGGAAACATTTGTTTGCGGTTTTTAAAATCTTAAAGTCAAATTTTAATGTTAGGGGAGAGCATATATTCATTGATACATTTGAGGCATATGATTAAATGTGTAAACTAAACTTTTAGAGATATCATTTAATATAATTCATCATTATTCTGAAGAAGCTGAATTTTAATGTGTATAATCTTTAAGAGTATTATTTGTGATTTTGGGGTTGTAAGAAGTCACAGCCATAACGGTGAAATGAGAAATAAGGCAAAGATGTTTTGTTTTTTTATCGTAACTTTTATCACAATAATATTACCTCATGATTAGGTATTAAGTGCATAACACCCAGCCCTACTAAATATACAATAGAAAAATATTAATGGGCTGTAAACATTACAACCACAAACTTCAGTAAGTTTTCTATAATACAGCAACAGTTTGTTTTTCACAGCCTCAGACCAGTGGTGGGCAGTAAGGGCCTTCAAAGTCTTCACCACTGGCATAAAATCAATCAGAAACACTAACCTAAATTCACAACCTAAACTTTAATTTTCTTCTATCTAACTATTAATTTATTTCAAACAATTCATTCTCTTAATGTTTTTGGCTGTGCTGCTTCCATTTCATTTATGGTGGTTGTTATATTTTGAGTCCAATCAGAATTCAGACTTATTGCGTTGCTATGTCAATCAAATCTGCCCAGGGCCTTCAGAATCAGCAGTGCTGGCTGATCTTACCCTAACAATATTAATGAGGAACGTTTTCTTAAACCAATCAGATTTGCCTCACTGGGCCAGCGAGCGGCCCACCCCACGTCAGCATTTTCTGTCCTCTGATTGGTCAGTTAGAACATAATGTTTACAGTCATGTTAAGCTAGAGATAATCTGCATTTTAGATTCACTTCTGTTAAAAGATTTTCTGGCCTCAATGACTGATTGTACATGGAGATACTAAGACTTCCTGCACAAAGGCAGAAGGATGGATTCTGTTTGGTGAGTGTGATATATTTTACTTTCATGCTTTATGTGCCATTTTATCTAGTAATTAAATGCATATTAAATCTGAATGGCTTCTGATGATATATTTGGACATCAAGGGATAAACAGTAGGTTTAAGTTGAGGGGTGCCTACTAAAGGCCTAGGTACCATATACACCACCGGCTACTGCCTCAGATACATCTTCTCCCAGTAAATCTGTAAATATAGCTCCCTCGATCTATTCATTGGTTCTGATCAGCCTCTCTGTCCCTACTAAAAAGAATAAACCCAACTGCATGATGCTGCCACCACTGTGTCCCACAGTGGGAATGGTGTATTCCATGAGTTTCTGATTTATGTTTATTGATGTTTAGTTTGTCTCTGACATGTAGATTTTTGCATCTATGTGCCAATGCAATTTTGGTAATAGAAATCTGTCTGTCAGCCAAAAAAAGGAATATTTGGATTAAATCTGCCTGCATGTAAAATATCTGATATTAGCATATGGCTCCATCAGTCTGTGCATCTTTTAGTGAGCTTCTCAGGTGTGTGTTTCTAATTTATAAAGTTTTATTTCATTCAATTGTAAAATATTTTTTTGTTTAAGATGAAAGTTTAGTTTGATAATTGAAGATCTATTCTCTCATTATTGTGATTCCTCGTTGTAGTGATAAAAAAACATCTATTTGCATAGTGTGTTAAAATATATTTTGTTCTTTTTGTACAAGGCAAGGTTGACATTTGATTGAAATTAGCCTTATGTACCCCTGTTGATCTCTTTTTAAGAAATATAATTTGAGCAAACCTGTTTAAGTAAGTAAGTAGTAAATTAGTAAGGATAATTTATTTAGCCCCTTTCTCAGACAAGCATCACAAAGTGCTGTACAATATGAGGCATAGAATACAAAGCAGCACCATATAAAATACATGTAGACAAAATAAATACAATCATAGCAGCCCTTGATAACATGAGTCTAAAATGCTTTGTTAAAAAAATAATGTTTTTAGTTGTTGACCAAGTGCAGGTGCATTCCACAGTCTGGGAGCGACATCTTCAAAGGACATATCACATCTCGTCCTAAAACGGGTTCGAGGGACCATTAACAAGTTCTGTTCAGCAGATCTCAGACTGCAAGCAGAAAAGTGAGGTTGAATCAAGTCGCAAATGTAAGAGGGAGCCTGTTCCTGCAGGGCTCTGAAGGTCGGAAGCAAAATTTTAAAGTTATTGCGTTATTTAATGGGAAGCCAGTGTAGGGCTTTGAGGACAAGAGTTATCTGAGCTCTTCTGGTTCTACGTGTCAAGATCTTTGCTGCAGAATTCTGGAGTAGCTGCAATCGATATAGGCCTTTTTTGTTCAGACAAGGTTTTTTTCATAACCTTTTTTTTTTTTTAGTTTTGCGATTTGCGTTTTTATTATTGTTTTGTGTGTTGCTTCAGAGACATTGCCTCAGCAAATAAAACTCCGGTTTCTCACAGTGTGTTTTGTCACCTGGCTGAAGTCGCCTGAGTGCTGCTTAATGCCAGGAATGGCTTTGTCTGGGGCTATAATGAGTGTCTCAGTGTTTTCCAAGTTCAGATGTAGGCTATTGTCACTCAACCACTTCTTTATTCGGGACCAACATTTGATTACAGAGTTTAATTTGTGGGCCTCAAATTAAACTAACACTCCACACTATAAAATGAGAGATAAAAATTTGTATGAATTGTGTTTATATCATATCTAGTGAATATCAGCATTGTTCGATACTCAATCTTTCCATAAATGTGTGACTAATGCATTCAGATTGGTCAGTTCATTTGGACAGACATTTTCTGATCAGACTGCAATTGCTAGTTCTTTTATTCATTTATTTTTTTTTACAAAATTGCTCTATGCAATTCGTTGCACTGGATTCTGTTAGGAAAATAGGAGCAAAGGGATTTTAAAAGAAGACATATACATATTTTGTTTTCCTTTTTCTTTTTATCTGTGCAGTTTTGAGTTGACCTATCACAAAAAATACCTCAAAATATTTAAGGTATAACATGTAAAATGTAAAAAAGGTGAAAGGGGGGAGTTTTTAGGATGTTGCATTTGGCAAAAACAATTGTTTTCTGAACTAAAACTAGTAAGCTTTGCATCATCTCCAAGATGACCAATGCTAAAGCTTCCTGTCAAACAGGGGGCTCACAGCATTTGGTCACTGATCCCCTAAGAGTCCCAGAGGGATCATCACACCAACTGATGCTGCAGCCACCATCTTCCCAATAAATGCTCTGGTTATATCAGAGTTCAACTTTATTTTTTCTCTCAATCCAAATGCAAATAAGACTTTCTTTCCCTTTTCCAAAAATAAGCAGAGTAGAAGCAGAGATTTTACTCCTAATGCCTGCTGCTATGATAATCCCCTGATGGGAAATATTTGCTGAGGTAAATTAACAGTTGAGGTTTGCATCGTTAAATACCCCCAACAAAATTTTTCCAGGGTACATTTTTCAATTTCATTTCTTCTGCATGAAAAAAGGAGAGAGTTGACAGCCGGCAGATGTATTAACGGGACTCCATCTATCCAGGAGTGAGACTCTCAGGTGAACTTAAATCATCGACAGGCCTGAGCTGATGCTTAAGATGTTTTGAATATTATTTCTGTCATTTTTCGTGCTGAGCTGTGCACCCACCAGAAACCTACTTGATGGATAAGTCACAAGCCACGTCGAAATATTTTCAGTTTCAATTTGAACATGTCCAAATGTATCACCCTGAAGGGAATCAAAGAGAGTGGGGGCAGGCCTGCCAGCAGCAGCTGTGGAGCCTTGTGGATTCAGCCTATTTCATAGCCTCATCTAAGACTCGGCTGGTCGTTCATACAGATAAGCTTCAGCTAAGTCGCAAGTATACAAGAAAAAAAAATAAATGGTGTGAATAAAGAAACATAAAAATGCAGGTTATGAATCGACCAGAGCTTGAACCTAACCACACATACACTCTGTGGAGATATGCATACACACATTTTTCTCCTATAGCGGCTGAAAATTAGTCCAAGGGATTCATTTTTCAGTTATTAATATATTTAGAGGCAAAAAATGAAATCAGGAATATTTTCAGAGTTGTAATATTTGCATATTGCGTTACACCTCCAGCTTTTTTTAATCATATGTTCCGCAAGATGAAAGAGAAAACATATTTCTCTTGCTAATGAACAGTAATGGATGCTGCCCACTTATAGAAATGTGATCATTCATAATTTCTCACGACTTAGGGTGACATTTTAACCTGCCATCATTACCAGAGATGACCTGCAAACCATATATCAGACACATCTATTTGAGCAGACCACTCAGCCAGTTAATCAATTATCACAGTGTTTGCAGATTAAAGGTCAGTCTGGCAGGAAAAGTCTACATGAATTTTAAGACAATTGCAAAACGTAAATACAAATACTGTTTAATCAACATATTTAGTGCAGATGTAAATATTCTAAGCTGGCTGTTTTACCTCTACATAACAAATATGTTTAGTGCATGTATCAACTGAAAAGCAACACATCTAAATGTGCAGTTGCTACATAATCTGGATTTTTTTAATTAATGGGGATTTAAACAAAGCAGTGTAAAATGCAAAATTGCTTGGCTGCAGTACGTTGTTCCCCAGACATATTAAGATTTTATTAATCTTGGCTGCTCAGTGGCACAGCTGGTAGCACTGCTGCCTTGCAGCAAGAAGGTTCCGGGTTTGATTCCTGGTCTTTCTGCATGGAGTTTGCATGTTCTCCCTGTGCATGCGTGGGTTCTCTCCAGGTACTCCGGCTTCCTCCCACAGTCCTAAAAACATGACTGTTAGGTTAATTGGGTTCTCTAAATTCTCCTTAGGTGTGAGTCTGTGCGTGAATGGGTTGTTTGTCCTGTTTGTCGCTGTGATGGACTGGCGACCTATCCAGGGTGTACCCCGCCTCTCGCCCGTAGACAGCTGGAGATAGGCACCAGCACCCCTCACCACCACTTGGGATTAAGCATGTCAGAAAATGGATGGATGGATGGAATCTGTTTATTTGCTTTCAAAACCATTCATAAACATGGCCACATTAAAAGGATGCATGGATCAATCTATTGTCACATGCTTCAGCACAGACTGAAAGAATGGGTCAGCTTCTTTTCCAGCAGCCTACATCTGTATTGGAACAAGTTAATCACAATCTGTGAAGGTGGAGTTTAGCTTATAGATAAACTGAAAACAACATTTTTGTGAGCTAGACATAACCTTTTAAAAGACGATAACGAACAATAATTGTTACTAAATACATTTAGGTGTTGTATAGCATAAATAACACTGTAATTTATGCCTAACTATGCAGCATAGTACTAATCAGTTTACTTTGTGGTAATTGTGAGAAGCACGTTTTGTTCTTTCTCACAAATTTCTTTTAGTAAAAATTTGTATTTTTTGAACCTCTGTGATTTTTACCATTAAATATTAAATACTGTTGAGGGTAAAATAATCAAAATTTGTATAATAATACAATTAGTTTGCAAAATAACCTCTAAAGTATATTTTGCACACATACCTTATATGATTTCGCAGCAAATGTGCTACTCATAACAAAGGGGGGTGACAGGTTTGTCGTTTTCACAAAAAGAATGAGAGCCCTACTTGCTGAGGGGTTTACTTTATGCGTTAACTCCACCTCCTTCACTCAGCGCGCCGCTACATGCACCGGCATTGAAATGGTGCGGAGACTTTTAAACGTTTGTTTACTGGACGTTTGCACGTAGACAGACAAGAGGCAAATAAACCTACCTGCGGCCGTTGCACTTTTAAATGGCCATGTGTTGATGACAAGCGGTAAGGATGTCCGTCCAAGCTGAAAACATAACATTAAAAAGAAAAATTGTGGTGAAACGTCCATTTTGCTCCTGAATATTAAAACGCCGCGATCTTTTTACACCAGCGCTGTCAAGAATGTGTCTGACAGAAAACTAAAAATGAGAGAACGGCATTAAAAAGAGTTGCCTTAAAAATGAAATACTCTGGAGACTTTCAGGAAACAGCATGTCTACTTCCTTGTTGTGTCACATGCCGAGTGGAGGGGAGGTTCCTCCTTAAAGAGACAGTACACATAATTCGCCTGTACAACAAACTTGGAAATGGCTGTTTTGTGAAATCAGCTTACAAGTAAAATGAGAACACGAATAAGTAAATGTTGTAAGAGAAAAACAAAAAGTAAATTATTTATATTGCCCACTTCTCATTAATATTGCACCAATTTCTTTAATATTGCACTGAATGTGATAATGATGATAAACTGGTGACCTGATTGTGTTTATCACTATAGTGATCACTCAGGATCACATGTTTGAGGGTCTTGCAACCACATTTTTACATTTGTTTTAAAGGTTTGAAAACTTGTGCTTTCCCTCACTGAATTATATAGTTTCCCAGAAGGTTATGCCCTGAATTTCATAACAGTTAGTGAGAATGACATCCGTCTAAGTTGAAGTTCGCTGTCACCTCTCCCAGTGACACGAGTTACACGTATAGTTGGACGCCTCAGCGTATGACAAACTGGTAATGTAGAATTCAATATGAGACAACATCATTAAATATAAAAAGGTCAGTGGGGCTTTTCTTGTCAATGAAGCTCTAATTCAATTAAATTCACTTTATATAGAGCCAATTCAACACACATGTCATCTGAAAGCACTTTACAGTTCATCAGATGATACAGTTAGATTGATTCAAAGTTTTCTATCCAAGAAAAACCAGTTGATTGCATCGACTCATTGAAACGAATGCAATCCCTCACACTAAGCATGCTTGTAACAACAATGGTATCTACATTTTAATTGCATTTGACAAACCATTAACCTAGAGTGAGAGCAGTAAGAGTCCCAAAATTGACCCTCAAGGGACCCTTGAAGTTAGCTTGTGTACAAAATAAGTTGTGAACTGTGTCTTCGACTGGATCCCTTTCTTTTAAACAAACTTGTTTGTTATTTTGTGAAGTTACGACGGATGGAGAATCTAAACGTTTTATTAAAGTTAGAGTATTGATTTGTCACAAGTGAAAGTAAAACATATGATACATTAAAACTACTCCTAGAAGGGTTTTTCTTTTCTTTTGTCAGAACGCTCCTCGGATAACTATATTTGAGTATTTGAAACTAGTTGCTACTAATCTCTGGTTGTGGCTAATGTCCCACAATAGAAAATACTCCTGATTCCCAAAAAATCAAGAAGCCAGTCCTTCATTACTTCCATAGGAATACCTGGATGTTAACGTTTAATATGCAGATATCTGTCATTTTAAGAAACAACAAAGCTATAATCCAAATGTTCTGTATCCAACAAGCTATATCAAAGTCATTTTTGTGTTTTTCTGTAGGATTAGACGTAGAATATAAAAGTGCACAATTCTATGGTAAAATATGTTCTAATTCACAATTATTTGGTCCATTATAATGAGTTATTTTTTTATATTTTCATGAAAAAAAAGTAACCCCCAAAATAAAAAATGGCTCAGTTTACTCTGGAATCACAATGAATATTCTGCTTATGAATACATGCAAAATGAGACACTATTTCCATGGTGGATTTAAATCACATATCCTATTCTCCTCTTCGCACTTTTCCCCTAAATTATTTTTTTGAGGTGTAGAAATTATGACAATAAGACTTAGAAATTCTAACATTCAAAGAATTCAGCATCAGTCTTGCTGTTAACTTATTGCAGAAATAGCATCCACATTTTTATATAAGTGCACAATCAGGGTTGCTTTGTGACTCGCTTCAGAGGGTCCACTCATTATTTACACCAATATGCTCCAAGCTGACCACTTAAAGGGTGCAAAGGGAAACCTGCTGCACTGCTGGCAGATTTGGATCTTGGTGACTCCTCTCAAGGGTTTAATTTACATTGGAGGCAGAAGGAAACCCAGGTAAGTATTTGCTCTATGGTCTTTTATAGATGTAAGATGGCTTGTTTGTTCTTGGCAAATGTCAGAGAGTTGAATAAGTGGCCCAGGTTGTTTGCTGTTTCACAGATCATTTTCAGATTTTTGTCCTGCTGTGTATGCTGCTTGAATTACATTCAGGTTGTTTTTGTTATCAGTTTGTATCATTTCTTACAGCTGTCTTTAGGATCCATTTTTTCTGGTGTAAAATGTTTTAGAAGAGTAAAGCTTTAAAAAAAATCTGCAACAAAAATGTGCTCAGGATTTTTTTTACGTTGTAACAGTTTGAAAAAAACTTTCAATATTTTACACAATACATCGCCTTTTCCAGTAGGTATAATTATTGGACCAGGGCATCTGAAAACAAAATATTTCATCACTCTTGACCAATGGTAAATTGACCTCCAGTCCTGCAGTTATTCTTCTTCCATCCTACATTATAATACTAAAAAGAATAAATTACTGCACCCAACAGACAGAAAAATTAGTTTGAACATATTTTAATCTTCCCTGAAATTTTGTAATTCTTCATTATCAGGGAAACCACCATAAATAAATATTAATATCCTAGTACTTTTACTTCTGTGTCTCTGAATCCTGGAACAACTCCTAGATTTAAGGTATTCCTTCCTGGTATTCGACAAGGATATCCTATCTCGCTAAGACTTAAACTTAGAGACTTAGACAAACTTTATTGTTATTTTGTGTACACAAAATGAAGTTTCAATCCATACAATTTTTAAACAGTGAATGAGCAGCTTAAAACAGTGAAATTAACATTTCCATTTATAAACTGCAGCAGTGATCAGAAAAAATATGGTGCAAAATGTAGTAGAAATATAACAGATATGAAAGAGTTCTGCCGTCATAGGTTAACTAAAAACCTCCCTATTTTGGTAAAGTTGTTTCCAAAATGTATGTATCCTTCTCAGTTATTTTGTATTTCCACAATCAATATCAAGAAGGACAATTTACAGACGCCAATCAACAGTCATTTGTTTGGACTGAGGAAGGAAGCTGGAGTACCTAGAGAGAACCCGAGCAAGCACAGGGAAACCATACAAACTCCATGAAGAACGGTACTAATGATTAGCTTAATGGTTCATTGCATTTACCTGCCCAGCTACGCCGAGTTTTCTCATTACTGTTCATCTCATCCACCCACTCCTGCCTCTATTTAAGCTGCTTACCCCCAGTCCTCACTGCCAGATCATTTGAGCCTTTGGTGAGAGTTCCTTAGCATACCCTGTGTGTTGTTCTGATTGCCTGATCCTGACTAGTTCTGCCTTTGGACCTCTGAGCCTGCTTGTTCCCATTCTGATCTGTTTCCCTGACCTGTCTTGGGACTCCTGCTGGATTCTGCCTGCTTCTGACCCTGGATCTGTCTCCTGACCCCGACTTGGATTTTCCTTCGGCTCCTCCTTGGATCTCTAATCTTCTGGCCTGGACTCCTGTTTACCTTATCGATACCGGCTTTGGATTCGCCCTCTTGAAACTCCTGCTTTCCCTTGTCTGCTTGTTTCTGCTCGTCAGCCAATTCAGCTGCCTTCTGGGCTTCTGCTCCTGGAACTCTCTGGGCAGCTTGTGCTGCATGCTGTGGGAAATCATCCGGCTGGACTCCACTCCTTCTCCTTGGGTCGTACCTACTTTATAACCAGGTTCGTTACTCACACTCTTGTAATCGTCCTCCTACAGATTTATGTGGTCACTAACCTGATTTTTACCATCAACAGAGATTCTGGCCTTTTTTGTGCTAGGTACTGAGACGTGTTGTCAATAAACGCTTTTGTAAATTGCATTACTCTGTCTGCCTGAAATTCTGGGTCCACAGTTCTGAGTTATGACATGGGCTGGGAATCAAACTTGGAATTTTCTTGTTGCCCTCTAAGATTATAATGAGGGAGAGATTAAAGTCTTGGATCTTCTATCAGTGTTTAAAACTTTTAAGATTAATCAGTTAAAATAATATGGTCAAATTTCATATGGTGACTTTAAGGTAAAATGTTATTTGCTTACAACATTTCCCCACATGGACCAACTTTAGGAAAAAACAGATCATTAACCACAAATAGTGATTTTTAACTTATGGTGCCAAAACAATGTTGTTTATTTTTGTAATCCAGCTGGTAAACCTTTGTATTACAGGCACTTTATATGCTTTATATGCCACCGAAGCTCAGACAGAATACATTAACGTCTGTAAAGCTGATCTTTAGAGACTATCCTAGCCTATAAATTTGACTTGACCCTCATTGGGGAAATTCTGGTAAGGAACAAAAAGTTTTAAAAAGTTCAGCTACAGCAGATGGTGTAAATACTCAAAGACAATGAATATTATACAGTTGTTAAATACAAAGTCATATTCAGTTGAAAATGAGAAATCTTCCAGTTAAAAAGGAAAAGAAAACTGTAGCTGGTTTATGGAACCAGGCAAGAAACTTAGTTCTTGGAAAAAAAAGTTTCAAAGCAGGTATAAAAACTGCAAACAGTCAATAGACTTTGGCTGTTTCCTGTAGGGGCCGCCAGTGGACCTGGTTGAAAGTTAGCATCGTATCTTGGATTCTTTCTGTATCTGTGCTTTTGTCTCCTTGAACCCCAATCGGCCTCAGCAGATGGCCGCTCACACTTAGCCTGGTTCTGCTGGAGGTTTTTTTTTCTGTTAAAAGGGAGGTTTTTTTTCCTCTCCACTGTCGCTACAAGCATGCTTGGTGTGAGGGATTGCTGTCAAGTCCATTATTTGGTGCAATCAAGTGGTTTTCCTTAGATAGAAAACTTTGAACCAATCTGACTGTATGAGCTGGTTGAATTGTCTCTGTAAATTGCCTTGAGATGACGTGTTGTGAATTGGCACTATATAAATAAAGTGAGTTGAAATTATTTGAAATTTAAAGTAATTAATATCTGTAAGATATTAGGCTGATTAGAAACATTATCATCATCCCAGGATAACTTATCCCCGACTTTGGAAATTTGCTCTTGTATATAATGTGAAGTTAATAGCAAATAACTATGGAAATAATCACACGTCAGCACAAATTCACAAATTGATTACATTTATTGTTTTAGAAAAATATCTTACTTTACAGTTTATTTTTCTAAAAAATAAAAAAATAAAAAAT